CTTTTTTCTTTTTGCTTATGTGGTGCTGAGGAATCGAACCCAGGGCCTCAGGCATGCAAGGCAAGCGCTCTACCACTGAGCCACCTTCCCAGCCCCCACAAAGTAATTTTATAGTTAATAATTTAGAAATTTATTGGAGGTTGATAAGTGATCCAAACTCACTTTTTAGGTATATTCTAGTTATAGCATTTAATAATTTTTCTATAATTTCTGATTTTACTAAAGGATTATGAGTTTAAGAAGTAAGGATTTGGGCCAAATGTGGTACATGCCTATAAATTAGTCATTTTGGAGGTGGAACCACAAGAATAGTAAGGCCAGCCAGAGTTGCATAAGCTGGATACTCCACTGCTTGACATATCTGTATCAATCCAAGTAATTATCTTTATATTGTAGACGGCATTCTTTAATAGTGTTGGTAAGAATCAGTAACTCTGCATATATATTGCTAGTCCTTGGGTTTGAACTCAGGTCCTGGGTACTGTCTGTGAGCCTTTGCACTCAAAGCTAGCTTTGAGCTACCATCTCTTTGGTAGTTAGTTGGAAATAAGGGGGTCATTGATTTTCCTGCCCAGGTTAGCTTCAAACCATGATCCTTATATCTTCATCTCCTGATTAGCTAGGATTACAGATATGAACCACCAGAGCCAGCTGTTGGTATATTTTTGTCCAGTGTGATATTAAAACTATTAACTTATAATATTTAAAATCTAATATATTCTAGATGAATTTTAGGAACGTACAAGATTATCACATTCTGGAGTGATATAGTAGAAGAAATGAAAACATTCTTTAATTTTGATACTGAGTTTCAGTGAACATTACGTATTTTGATTTACTTTCTCCCATCTTGTTACAAAATGTGATGTTACCCAAGTGCTATGGTACATCATTGTATTCTCAGCTATTCAGAAGCCTAAGGAGAAGGATTGCAAGTTCAAGCCTAGTGATAGCCCGTCTCAAAAACAAAACAGTATTAGTGTGATATTATCCGAACAAAGACTAAAATGTTTTTTTGTCTGAATACTCAGTTACTTTAAAATTTGCTAATTGATAATAACTGTTTTGAAATGTACCATTGGAAGAAGAATAGTAGAAAACATGAATTTTGGCAAATTGAGAAAGAGTGAGTGGATATTACAAAAGCCAAGTCAATATCATATAGGGCTTGCTGCATGTTTAAAGTTAGGATATTACTAAATATTAAATTTAAGGTATTTCTAGCACTAGTGGATGGCCAATGTGAGCAGACAGGAGCTAAGGAATATTTAAGTATTGGGGAGGTAAAACAGTCTTAACATCTTTTCCTTTAAGAAACAAACTAAGATTCTTTAAGTATTTTAAGCATTACTTGTTTTTTCTTTCACAGGCCTCTTTCCAAACAAAGGACCAAAGACACTTTTCTTGAAGGTAAGTTGATTAAGGACTATATTCTTATTTTAAGCTATTATTTTGGCCATGCTGATTATAAAGCAGATTCTTGTCTGACTTGTTCAAAGTTACAACGTTATATAGTTTTAGAGAGCCCTCCTTTTTTGTCACTCAAAGGGCTTGAACTCAGGCCTTGGGAGCTGTCCTTGAGTTCTTTTTGCTCAAGGGTGGTAATCTACCACCACTTCTAATTTTCTGGTGGTTCATTGGAGATAACAATCTCAGGATCTCTGCCTCCTGAGTAGCTAGGATTATAGTTGTGAGCCATCAGTACTTAGTATTTCCAGTGAACCACCCAAATTCCAGAAGTGGAGGTGGTTCATGTGTTAGAGCACTAGCCTTGAGCACAGGAGCTCAGGGACAATTCCCAGGCCCCAAGATATGTACACACAAAAAAGTACAGGTCTGTTATTATAGTGTTTAATAAAATTGATAACTGAAGGTATATCCTTTTGTACTACTAGAATTTGTAAGAGGACCGGCCATGAAGGCATACAGAATAGATACTTGGATGTTACAAAAATTGGATTTTTTTCTGGAATGGAAGTCTATGAAATAATATGGAATATACAGTGTGTTATTAGAAATTCAGAATTATGACTCTTAAAATTGTATGTTAATTACTACCAAGAAATGATTAATCCAGGCCCTGGTGGCTCATGCCTGTAATCCTAGTTACTTGGGAGGCTGAGATCTGAGGATTGTGGTTCAAAGTCAGCCTAGGCAAGAAAGTCCATGAGACTCTTATCTCCCATTAACCACCAGAAAACCTGTGGCTGTGGCTCAGGTGGTAGAGCATTAGCCTTGAGCTGAAGAGCTGAGCAACAGCGCCCAGGCCCACAGTCCACGCTCCATGATCGACGGAAAAAAAAAAAAAGATTATATGCTGGTTGAAAGGATAAATAATAGGTGTTTACATCGCATGATAATTACTCAAATCACAACCTACAGGCAAAGGAGATAACAGTTCCAACACTTTCACCGTCTGTTTATGTTCCTTATGTTCCTTAATTTAACATTAATATTGTGGGGTTTGGGGTTGGGGATTTAGCTCAGTCGAAGAGCATTTCCCTGGCAAGTACAAGGCCCTGAGTTTGGCCGTCAGCTCTGGAAAATAAAAACAAAAACAAGACTGTAGGGTTCTTTTTTATGCCAGTAGATACTTAAATATGATATCAATTTGTTAAAGGTCTGGTTCCATTTCCAATTTTGTGTTTTATACTCTCTCAGGTAGAGGCCTTTTGGACAAGTGCATTACCTATGCCTTCTGCAGTGGTTTAATCCATATCACCCAAGTATTGCCATCATTTATCCTTTCTGGGATCTTGTTGCATCTGTGTCTCACTCCTTTTATAGAAGACTGCCTAGAAATAGAAAGTGACCTGCTTTTCGGCAAGTAATTGCCTAGAATTTTGAATACATAACAAATGTTCTCATTATATCTTATGCTTCCCTCTATGGTTGTATATTTGCTGCTTCATTTTGTTCACATTTTGCTTTGCTAATGTAAAAGTGGTTTGTGTGAGCAGTGTATTTAGTAAAATTCTTTGGTGACCTTTGTTATACAGTAAACAATAATAAGGCATTCTACATAGGTGAATGATTAGTGTGTGCCATTTTTGTAAAATACTTTCCCCTTTGTTTGAGTCAGAAAGTCCAGAGTTTTAGGCAAGACCTAAAATTATTTTAAATATTTCCTATCTGGTGTATACCCTCTAGTTTACCCTTTTGTTGAATATATATGGGTCTCATTCTTGGTCAGAAATAAACTGACTGTGCTTTGCCTCTTTTCCAATGCTAAAACCTAAGATTAAGATGTCATCACAACTTTGAATGTTTAACAGAGAGCCAGATATTTATCTCGACATTTACAGCCATGGTGATGTCATCTTATAGAAAATGTAGTCCCATCAATTTCTTGGTAGTGATCTCTTCTTTGGATGGAATAAAAATCTCAGTACCAAAGTTATGTTAGTTTGTTCTACATCATCTCAATTTTAATTTGGGTTCTACTTAACCTAAGTGAAGTTAATATAAAGTTCTGTTTATTTGAAGTTTATAAACTGTTTTTTCCATCAGGGAACTATTGCCTTCATTGCTACCCTATTTTAAGAGGCAAGTTTATACAAGTAGAGCATTCATTAACATTGCCTCATCTTATTTTAGTGTTAGCAAAAAATGCAATTTCTAGGATTTTAAGATTGTAATACTCCCTTTCTTTTAAAGTCTGTTTTAGCCACAGAATATTTAATGATTTAAATTCTTAAATATATGCTGCTATCCATTTCACCTTTCTCATTATAATTCATTTCTTTTAACTAGATAGTGAAGTATGATCTGTGTTCTTTATATAGTACCCATTTTATATACAGTGAAATTTCCTTTTAAAATGTTAGTATTCTAACCAGATACTTTTATTTTACTAAAATATTATTTTGTTTTTTGGTAGGGATAACCTAACTTTGCTTTTAAGGAATGAGGCCTTAAAAGACCATACAGGTGCAAATAGTCAACTCTGCCATCAAACTGTGAAATCAGCTATGATTAATCCCTAAACAAATGTATATAACTGTGTTCTAGTGAAATTTAACTGACACAAAACAGCTAATAGGCCAGATTTGGAACAAAATCTATAGTTTTCTTATCCTTAGCCTATGGTATAAGTTCCATTTTATCATAAGAAAGTCAGGTCAATAGAAAAATCAAAAGGGAGAAAAATAATTTCTTCTTGTGTCAGTTTTCTGAATCCTCAAACTTGTAATATGGAGTTAATAATGGAAGGAATGTATTTTAGGCTTTTGTCTTCTCTCCTAAATCTCAGTTTTCTATATATCTTCCCCTGATACCCACCTTTGCATTTAGGCTAATAGTACATTTGAAAATGGCCATAAAATTAATGAAGAATTAAATGATAGAAATCAGTCTTTGATCCTTATTTGTTTTCCATCTTCCAAGTGTGACAAATGTTAAAAGTTAATCTCATATCTTATATACTTAGTGTTGTCTAAGGTTCTATAAATTTATGTGAAATTCTGAATGATTGTTATGGGAAATGTTATCTTGTAACATTTTATTTTCTTTAATATGTGATGATGTATTTCCAGGTCAGTAAATACATATTACTTTTAATTGGAAATAAAGTTCACATGATGATATATTGAAGTATTTCTTACTTTGGGAAATGTAGGTTAACTTAAAATACTTGCTTTGATTGTACACAAATTATTGTATTGTTTAAAATTATATCTAGTCTAATGAATTTTGGATTCCTAGTTCTATATAGTAGAATTCTAGGTATTGTTGAATCCTAACTCATGTATGCTTTTGGTTTCAATTGTTATTTTCATAATGCCAAAAGCTTTCTGGGAACCATACAACAATTTTGTAACAGCAGTGCTAATTTTCATAAAATTTTATCTGATGCTTATTAACAACCTTTATAATTTTAGCTAACATACCTGATGACTATTAATAACCTTTACTTTTTAAGCCAATCTAATAGGTGAAGTAATATTTTAAAGTATTAAGTTTGATTTAAATGAAACATGGCCATGTATTTAAAAATCTAAATATTCATGGGTATTTAATAACAAAATTAATACTCTCCTGTCTTTCAATCTCAAGAAATATTCAGATTTTCAGAGCTAGAAGCCTTGAAAAATTTCCAAGTTCAGTACTTCTTCCTAAACTCTTAAGTATACCACGCACACAAGGCTTTTTCCTTTTACAATTAATTTTATGTTTGGAATTGCAAGATTCATATGGGGAATCCTCACATAATTCCTCATTAAAATTGACTTGCTCTCTGCTTTGTTCTTTCTCACTTTTCTTTACTTTCTTCATTCCTCTTTTTTTCTCTTCACCATCATCTATAGTGTTATTAGTCTGTGAACTATATCTAGTTACAATCATTATGTCCCTTTAAACCAAAAAAGTTTCAGCATTTGCTTTCTAATTAATCTGGTAATTCCCATTAAATGAATCCATAGTTTAAAATTGTAACATAATACAGTATGACATTCATATTTTATCAGTTGTCATAGTTCTATTTTATTAGCATTTCTTTCTTCATTTATAATAATATATTCTGGAAGAATATCTCTTTTTGTGAGAGAGCAGTAGTGGAAATTGAATTCAGGACTTTGTATGATAGGCAAGCACTTTACCTTTTGAACCATGCCCCCTAGTGCTTGTAGTGTGTTTAGCACAAAGTTTCCAGCACTTTTGTCCAGCCAGGCCCTGTTCAGATTGCAGTTCTACTCTCTTTTACTCCATGGCCTGGATTTCAGGCATGCATCACCTTACCTAGTATAGATGCCATGTCTCTTCCTTCTTTTTTGAATAACCAAATCAATACTCTATAATCTCCAACCTTCTAGTGGAAACAAAGAAATAGGAATAGTTTAAGGACAAGATTATAATTTCAACTTCCTATTTCTTTGCAAAATTGTTTTTGAGCCAATTATTTGCACAAAGCCTCAAGCCTACCTATGACACATCTCACAATTAATTAATCAAGTACATTAGGTTAATTCCAAGGCAAACTATATAATTTATTTTAAAATGCCAATCCCATATTTATTTGAATGTTTTGAAATATGTTCAAAGATTTTCAACACATACTTTGCTACATAAGGTCCATCATTTTATCCTGTTTTTAAAAATTTTCCCCAAGAAAATTATAAATTGGCCATTTTTTCACTAAGAATTATAAAAATTCTAAAAATATGTTTCTTCCCATAACTTTCTATTCAGCTTTTTCAAAACTAGCTTTTTCTTATTCAAGAGCTTTGGACAAATATTGCCTTATTTAATGAGTTATGTTTTATTTTCAACTCACATCTGCATTATTAAGGTTTTAAAAGATTTTGAAATTCTCTTGTGTAATCACTCATTTGTCTACAAACTCTCTGTCTATCTGTCTTTCTGTAGATAGGTTTGTCCTTTGTCACCAACATTGACCTCAGTCTTGTAATGTTCCTTTGTGATTGTCCTGAGTTGGTATTATGGGTATATGCAACAATGTCTTACTCCAGTTTCCTGTATTTATATGTTCAAAAAAGTTAGGTAAGACCAAGATCACTACTGATGATATCTATATATAAACACTGATAATAAAGCAAAAGTGGAATTAAAGCAATTTATGGTCATTTCACAGTTACATTAAATTTGTGGTTCTTTGTTGGCTTACATAGGTCTATGGAAATACTGGGGTTTTGGATGTCTTTTTGTTGTTGATGTTGTGGTTGTGGGGCTTGAATTCTGGCCTGGTGCTGTCCTGGAGCTCTTCAGCTCAAGGCGAATGCTCTACCACTTGAGTTACTTGGTGGTTCATTGGAGCTAAGAGTCTCACGGACTTCCCTGCCAGGGCTGGTTTGAATTTCAATCCTCAGATCTCAATTTACTGAGTAGCTAGGATTACAGGCGTGAGCCACCAGTGCCCAGCTTGGATGTCTTTTTAAAGTATTGCTAGTCTGATCTGATAAAACATTTAATGTTGCCAGGTGTAGTGGTATTTAAATAGATGTATTACTTAAATAGATTGATTATTTAAGATTTATACTTTAAAAGCTGAGTAAGTGGCTAGACATTTTGAAATACTCCTGTAATTCTAGCACTCTAGAGTCTGAGGAAAGAGAATGCTAGTTTAAGGACAGCCTGAGCTACATTGTGAGACAATGTCTCAATAAATACCTTATAAAAGAAAACAAAATGACATCTGAGTAAGTGATGACGCCATTTATCATTATTGTGTTGGGAAGTATGATTTCTCTCAAAGTTCTTGTTAAGGAATGAGATGTGTTTTTTTTTTTTTTGGTCGGTCATGGGGCTTGAACTCTGGGCCTGAGCGCTATCCCTCAGCTCTTCAGCTCAAGGCGAGCGCTTTACCACTTGAGCTACAGCGCCACTTCCGGTTTTCTGGTGGTTTATTGGAGATAAGAGTCTCACGGTCTCTCCTGCCCAGGCTGGCTTTGAACCGCGATCCTCAGATCTCAGCCTCCTGAGTAGCTAGGATTACAGGCGTGAGCCACCAGCGCCCGGCTGAGATGTGTTTTTGTTGTTGTTGTTGTTGTTGTTGATCATGGGGGTTGAACTCTGGGCTTGAGCACTGTCTCTCAGCTCTTCAGCTCAAGATGAGCACTCTACCACTTGAGCTACAGCGCCACTTTTGGTTTTCTGGTAGTTTATTGGAGATAGGAGTCTCACAGTCTTTCTTGCCCGGGCTGGCTTTGAACGACGATCCTCAGTTCTCAGTCTCTTGAGCAGCTAGGATTATAGGCGTGAGTTTTATAGTAAACCTTTAGGTAATGTTTTTAACGTTGAAAATAGGAAGTTTAGAGATTCATTATAGTTTGGAGATAGAGAATTCTTTGAATACATGACTTCTTTCTTATAGACATGTTTCGACATTATATCTAGAGACAACATTAGTGACAGTGGGAATATATTTCAGATTTTCTAGCTTGAAAGGGTTGAAAAATGTTGAGAATTCATAATCAGGCAGATAGTTTTATTTACTGAAAAGCCAGAGAATACGCTATCCCTGAAATAAATGAAGAATCAGATTTTACAATATATGAGCTAACTATTGACATTTGTATGGCAATTAAAAACACATTTGGCTGTGTAAATACAGCAAAAAAAAACCCCATTATTTTAGATAAAGATGCAGGGAAAGATGGAGAGGCAGTGGTTTTAATTATGTTAAAACCAAATCAGAGGATTTTCCTTTTAATTGATAGTGTGCCCATTAATGATGCTAACAGTTTCAGTCCAGCATAGATGCCTATACCTTTGGGGTGATTTGCATGAATCAGCATATGAATATAATAAAGATGTATCACAATTGCACAATTTGGGATTTCCTTCAGCATTTTACATTGTTTGCATATAGGAGAGTACTGATTTTTCTTAGAACTCACATTCCTAATGGCCTTATTTGTATACCTTTATTATTTGACTTCCCAC